TGTGCCTCCCATCCAGGATGGGCAGGGGCCATGGCACCTCAGCCAGGCCCCTTGACTTTCTCTCTGGGTTCTTGGGCTCAGAAATTACATCTAAGCAGAGAAAGAGGCAGAAATGGATTCATCCCAGGGGCAGAGCTGGAACTGGACCTGGGAGCAGTTGCTGCCTTGCAGGCCCCAGGGCTCCATGCTCATATTTTTCTTGGCCTGGCTTCCTCCTTCTGATCCATTCTCTGAGCTACCCATACACATGTAGCAAACTATTCTGCAAGACCACCAGAGCTGATTTCTGTTGCTTGCAAGGAGTAATCCCAACAGAAACCAGACATTCTCTGTGAAGGCAGGATGCCCCGAAGTCCTTGTCAAAGGCCACGTTCAGCTCCTGACACATGTCTGGATTTTCTGCCACCCTCAAGGGACCAGCATGGCTTCAAGTCCTGCTCCTCTCAGTTTCCAGGGGCCTGACCTCGGGCACTTCCTTCCTCCAAGCCCCTAATTCTCTCACCTGGAAGATGATGCTGTTAATTAAGAAACACAGGATTGGCAGGGCACGGTGGCTCACGCCTATAATCCCAGAACTTTGGGAGGCCAAGGCAGGCGGATCACCCGAGATCAGTAGTTCAAGACCAGCCTGGCCAACATGGTGAAACTCCATGTCTATTAAAACTACAAAAAAATTAGCCGGGCGTGGTGGTGCATGCCTGTGGTCCCAGCTACTCGGGAGGCTGAGGTTACAGTGAGCCGAGATCCACCATTGCACTCCAGCCTGGGCGTGCAATTTGAGACTCCTCTGTCTCAAAAAAAACAAAGAGTCCTGGCCTGTGAGCTGTTGTGAGCTTCACCAGTGTCGGCACAGGAGGTATTCCATAAATGTGAGTTAACGTTGTTCCTGTCACCATTGTTATTGCTATTGTCCTACCAGCCTGAGTAGCTGAGCCACAGTAGGGTCGAGACTCCTGACCGCTGCATCACTCTCAGGGGCACCTTGTGCCATCCCTCACTGGGGTCCTCGCCAGCTGTGTGTCACACTGAGGTGGGGCTCCAGCAGCAGTCTCAGAACTGCTGAGCAGCTGCCAGGGCTCAGATGCAGCCTGGCCCTCCCATTAGGCCCCGTGTTAGCAACTTCATTCCAAGAGACACCCTTCTAGGAGTCATGGGAACCAATACGCTGGCAACCAGGCCAACTTCGGAGCCCAGGCGAGAACGCTGTCGCAGCTCCCTGGTGACTGGAACGAGACTGCATGCCCATCCTCCAGTATTCAGCGGCAGCAGCTGTGACGGTAGGCACGGGGGAGCGGTTTCCTTTTGAGGGTCCCGGGGTCCAAACATCACCCTGGTTACTTCCCACTCCTGCAGTTCAGAGGCACGGCCCCTTCCAAATCTAGCCACCAGGGGGAGTCTGTGAGCAGCCCCCGCCACTCTGCGGGGGACTCCAGGCCTCCCCTGGGCTGAGAAGGGAGGAGACTGCAGAACCGGCCACCCCACCGGGTAATCCGGGGCCAGGGCAATGAGTGCACTGGTGGTGTGAATGGAGCAGACTCCCCAGCTCCCGCCGCGGACCCCCTACCCCAAAGATTTTATTTCCACCTGTATTTTAAAAATAATATTAGGCTTGGTGCGGCAGCTCACGCCTGTAATCCCAGCACTTTGGGAGGCCGAGGCGGGCGGATCACCTGAGATCGGGAGTTCGAGACCAGCCTGACCAACGTGGAGAAACCCCGTGTCTACTAAAAATACAAAATTAGCCGACTGTGGTGGCGCATGCCTGTAATCCCAGCTACCTGGGAGGCTGAGGCAGGAGAATCGCTTGAACCCGGGAGGTGAAGGTTGCAGTGAGCCGAGATCATGCCATTGCACTCTAGCTTGGGCAACAAAAGTGAAACTCTGTCTCAAAAAAATAAAATAAAATAAAAACATTAAATATATATATATATTTTTTTAATTACAAAAGCAACTCATGGTCAATTCATGACATGGGTGTTCTGGGTTTTCTGGCTTGTTTTACTTTGCTGTATATTTCAAGATTTCCTGAGTTTGGGCTATGGGGCCGAGGAGGGTCCCTGCCTCTGGGCTTCAGTTTCCCCTGGGTGCTTGTCTGGAGGTCCTAGTGTTCTCTTGAGTCTCCCTGAGTTCTCAGGGAGTTGTTAGAGTCTCTTTCTTTGATGCTCAAGGCTGGTTCCAGGAAAGGTGGGACAGAGAGGACCAAACCCCAGACTCTGCTCCCAAGGCCTCTGCCCCTCCTGCAGGAGCCCTCACTGTCCTCCCCCCACTCTGAGGGCAGGCTCAGCTCAGAGTCTCTGCTATTCCGGGCACATCATGACCCCACACCCTGTCCAGACGGTATGATTCTTTTATTTATTTATTTATTTGAAACAGGGTCTGGCTCTGTCATCCAGGCTGGAGTGCAGTGGTGCAATCTCAGCTAACTGTAGCCTCCACCTCCCAGGCTCAAGCCATCCTCCCACCTCAGCCTCCTGAGTAGCTGGGACTACAGGCATGTACCACCATGCCTGGCTAACTTTTGTATTTTTTGTAGAGATGGGGTTTTGTCATGTTGCCCAGGCTGGTCTCAAACTCCTGGGCTCAAAGTGATCCGCCCACCTCAGCCTCCCAAAGTGCTGGTATTACAAGCATAAGCCACTGTGCCAGGCTGGTGTCATTCTTTTTTTTTTTTTTTTTTTGAGATGGAGTCTCGCTCTGTTGTCCAGGCTGGAGTGCAGTGGCATGATCTTGGTTCACTGCAAGCTCTGCCTCCCAGGTTCATGCCATTCTCCTGCCTCAGCATCCCGAGTAGCTGGGACTACAGGCGCCCACCACCACACCCGGCTAATTTTTTTGTATTTTTTAGTGGAGACGGGGTTTCACCATATTAGCCAGGATGGTCTCGATCTCCTGACCTTGTGATCCGCCAGCCTCAGCCTCCCAAAGTGCTGGGATTACAGGCGTGAACCACCGTGCCTGGCCTGGTGTCATTTTTTAACTTCACACCAACTGACACCTTTGGTTCTCTGGATGCTGTGTGTGGCACCTGCCATGGCAAGAGAGGTCTACTCCCCTCTGCACGAGCCTCATAGTTCAGCTCCCCGCCAGCCTTCTAGCTGGTGCCTTGAGTACTTCGAGACTTTCTGTGGGCGCAAAGGAAAGGCCCAGACAGCATTTCTCACACTTGAAAATGCAGACAAACTGTGAGCTTGTCTCAGGTATAAGTCCCAGCAGCTAAAGGGTTGTTTTTAAGTGCTTTCCCCCTGCAGATTTGAATCTCATCCTCAAACATAAAACGAAATGTTTACCAGCGCGCTGCCACACAAGCGTGAGTAGTTCAGGCACAGGCCAGAATACCACACTATCTTGTAGCAGGAGGAGCCGAGGCAAAAAGCCTTGGGACTTCTGTCCCTCCCCAGTTTGAGGTCCTAGGAGCAGGGCTGAGCAAGAGGCACTAGGAGCACTGCTCAGCTCCTAGGTAGAGGTAGAAAGGCAGGCTCATCTCTGAGGGCCTGGGGCTTCCTCAGCTCCTCAGTTCCCACCTTCTCAGAACCAGGCACCAGGCACCAGCCCCAGGGGTAGATTGGAGGGACCCTCCCGGCCCACCGTGAGTCCTGGCCTGGGTCCTGAAATCCACCACAATGGGCAAGTTACGTCACTAGGGCCCAGCCTGCTGCAACTGAGGAAACCCCCGCCCCAACCAAGGGGCTGTGAATTTCAGAAGGGGAGTTTTTGGCCACAGAACCAGTCCCACAATGAATCAGGGATGAGGAGAGAGGCCCCATGAAAGCCCTTCCCCTCATCCCTCATCTGTCTCTGCCAATATGCCAATTTTCCCAGGCCACTACAAGCCCCAAGAAGGGAGGTGACTTGCTTACAGTCAACAGGTGCAGGGGTGCTGGCAGCTGCCCACAGTGGGCGCGCATCTCTGAGCGGGTGAGAATCCTGGAGGGAAGGAGAATGGATGGATCACCGCACAAAGGGTCTTGTACATGCAGGGCGAGAGGCACCAAAGCTCCACATAGAACATGAACAAGAATCTCCAGTTTATAAGGGTGCCCTCTCCCCAAGATGCTGCCCTCCGAGCTAGGTCCACCCTGGGGGCCCCTCAGGCCTGTTGGGGATAGGGACAGGGAGGCAAGGGATGCAGGGTGGGATTGCTTTTAACTCCCCTGCCCCCACCTACCTCCTGCTTCAGCTTTTTCCAAAACCATGGACCAGGAGGAGAAAAGGAGAGAAATTCTAAAATTCTAAAAACAAAAGACTAACTTGACCACGACGGGGAAACCCTTTAAGATGTCGGTAATAACAGAGCAGTGAACAAAGACTAAAAACAGCAAAACTGACAAGGAAAACCGCAGGGGCCCACCAGTGACCCCAAAGCGAGGAGATATACTTTCACCACTCACAACGGATGCACTCGGAGGAGCTGCCCTGCCATGCCCGATCCCAGACAGCTCTGAAGTCTGCAGGCATGGGGGCAGGGGTCCCAAGCGGTTCCTTGATGCTGTCTCCCATAAACAGCATGCTATTCCCCGCAAGTGAGGCAGCACTCTGATGCCCCCACCTTGGGACAGTGACTTGGACCCATCTAGCCTACCTACCGAGAGCTCCTGAGAGCATGGCACTGTCTAGCCCTGGCACCCAGCAGAGGCTGGGAAATAACTCGCTCCGTGAATGGACGACCATCAGCAACCCTGAGATGCCCCACCTCCACCAGAAGCTCTGCAGCCCCAGGCTCTGTCCCCCTGCTGGCTGATAACACCACCCCCAGTGATCTCCCAGGAGCTCCTCTGTGTTAAATGAGGCCAGGGGAAGCCTCCAATAACTTGGGGTTCCTGCTGCTCCCCACTATCCTCACAAAAGGAACAGGGCGAGCTCTCTGTAGATTGCAGAACTAGAGTCAGTTTGGAGCCCCAAAACTTTGGAGCCCAAAAGTTTGAGTTGTATGACCTAGGCGAGTCACTTCCGCTCTCTGAGCCGCAGTTTCCACGTCTGTAAAATGGGGTTAAAAGACCTACCTCTCTGGGCTGCTGTGAGGATGAGACGAGATAACACACAGGAAGGTGTTCCCACTGCGTGAGTGTTCCCAGTCTTTCTTAGGGCCAAGAGGTATTTACTGGACATCTGCTGTCTGCCAGGCCCTGGCTCTGCCCAGGGGACCCAATCATGAGTAAGACGGCGGAGTCCTGTTGGGACAAAACAGAAAATGAGAGTGAGCAAAACACCCTAGGCTGCAGCCACCACCCACACCCAGGGAAGCTGCACGGGGACCCGGGTCTCCCAGCTCCTGTGCCTTGGTCCTGGAGGCCATCTGGGGGTGGCCCTGCTCCCTTGGCAGTGCCCCTACCCAGGCAAACACAGTCAAGCCCTGATCTGGCTTTGGGAGCTGCCCACACCAGAAACCCCCTCTCTCTAGAACCCCACAACGGAGCTTACTCAGCTGGAGGGAACAGGGCTGCAGTTTGCCATCGGAGTCACCCAGTAAATTAGTCAGAGGAATCTCTCCGGCCTGAGGGGGAAGGGGCCCTTCTTGGTTCACCCCTCATCCCTCTGCCGGCTGATGCGCTGTTGGTCAAAAGTGATCCAGTAGATGCTTCACCTCCGTAGAGAGGTTGCAGCCCTGGAATAGGCAGAGCTGAGTGGTGGAGAGCCCCGGTCCTGGAGACAGACCATTCTGAGTTTCAACCTTCGCTCTGCCTTTTACCAGCTGTGTGACCTCGGGCAAGGAACTGGACCTTCTTGGGTCCACTTTCCCTAATAATAGTCATTCCAAGCTCATGAGGATGTGGTAAAGACCAAACAAGGTAACTGATGTGAAGCCCCTTGCATAATACCAGGCATAGGTGAGCCGGGCAGTTAATTTGCATACATTTAACAAACACAGGACCACAAACTCTTCCAAGTACGTTAAAAACAGTAACCAGTTTAATCCTCACAAGAATCCAGTGAGACAGGCAGTGTTGTCATCCTATCTTTTTTTTTTTTGAGACAGAGTCTCGTCCTGTCGCCCAGACTGGAGTGCAATGGCGTGATCTCGGCTCACTGCAACCTCTGCCTCCTGGGTTCAAGCAATTCTCCTGCCTCAGCCTCCCGAGTAGCTGGGATTACAGGCGTACGCCTCCACACCCAGCTAATTTTTGTATTTTTAGTAGAGACGGAGTTTTACCATGTTGGCCAGGCTGGTCTCGAACTCCCGACCTCGTGATCCACTCGCCTCAGCCTCCCAAAGTGCTGGGATTACAGGCGTGAGCCACCGTGCCCGGCCCGTCATCCTATCTTACAGATGATACCGAAGAGGGTAAGTGACAAATAGGGTAAGTGACTTACAAACAAAAAAAGGGTGACCTGCCAAAGCCACAGAGCTACCAAGTGGTGGGAGCAAAATGGAAACCCAGGCTCTCTTCGCTTCTGTTTCTTCCCATCCTTCTCCTTCCAGTTCCTGGTTTTAGAAAAAGTTGAAGCCCGTGAGGGGCATCTGGCTTAAGAATAATCCCTCCCTCCGGTCTCTGTCCTCCCTGGCCCCAGAAGGCCTAAGGCTACCAGCCACTACACTAGGCTGCCTCTCCAAAAAGAAGGTGATGTTGTCGGTATGAGGCCCCCCTGAGATCAGACTCTTACAGTGACCACCCCTGCTCCGACCTCCTGCCCCAGTTTGGAGCCAGAGGTGTCCAAACCTTTGCCCTCACACTCACCTCAGAGCCTGCGGCTGGTCAGATGCCTGCAGTAGGCTCAACTGGGCCAAGCGATGGGCAGAGCCACACAGGAAGTAGAAGGGACTGCCCACAGCCTCAGAGGGGCGAGGAGGGCAGACAGTCCCTCTGCAACTTCCCTCCCTAGAGAGCCCCCAGCCTCTGCTCACACACCTCTGGTGACAGGGAGCTCACTGCCTCTGCTGCAGCCCGGGCGGGCCATGGCTGGCCAGCTCTGACTGCTAGACGTGCTTCCTCAAGCCGAGATGAAATCTCTCTATGTAATTTCCTCCCATTAGTCCTGTCTCTGCCCCCAGGCCCCCACATGGCCAGCCGGCTCCTCCGGCCTGCAGACATCTGGAGATGGCCATCTCTTGGCAAGAGGAGTCACCACTCAGGCTGAACATCCTGGCAGCCTCAGCCGGGCCTCAGAAAGCAAGATTCCTGGTGCCCTCCCACCCTGGTACCCACTCTCCACCCATGACCCTTGCAAGATTGCAGGATTGCAAAGGCAGCTGCTTGCTCAGGCAACAGATGCTAAGCACCATAACAGGCCTGGTTCTGAGCTCAGCCCTGCTGCCTGGGAACAATAATAAGTGACAACAGTCACCACTCAGCAAGTATCTACTCTGCCCTAGACATTGGGCTAAGTACTCTACAAGCAGGAACTCATCCCATCTTCCCAGCTATTTGAGACAAGTATCACTCTTACCCCCACTCAACAGATGAGAAAAAGAAGGCTCCAAGAAGGAGGTGGCTTGCTCAAGGTCCTGCTCACACTGACTAAGTGGAGAAGCTGGGTTCACACCCAGGCTGTGAGTTTCAAGCTCGGCTCTTGACCAACAGAAAACAAAGACACAGCAGCAGAGGGACAGGAGACTCACTCACAGGAAACAGAGGCCAACAGCTCAGGATACGATGGTGGCTTCAATTCTAAAGGCAATGAGGTTCCTGAAAGGAGAAAGGATCTCTGTGGACCTAGGGAGGCAGGGAGGCTTCCTGGATTAGGAAGAGACCAGGGATGGGCCTTAAAAAGACAAAGACGCCTCTGACTGCAGAATGCCCAGCTAACAAATGAACTGGAAACCCGTCCGTCCCCACTCCCAACCCCCACACAGTGAACCATTATGCAACAGCCCTATCCCCTAGGCAGAAAGCATTTATTAAGTGCCACAGTATGCTTGGCCCATGTTAGTATTCAGCAAGGGCACAGATGAAGGTGCCATGATCCCAAGAAGTGAGAATCCATTTGGGCAGGAGGGAGGCCTGGTTAGAGGTGTGGTAAGCAGTGACTACAGGATCTGGTATAGGTCCTCGTCAAATTTATCCTGCCCACCACATCCTGTTGCTCCTTCCCCTACTACGGTTGTCCTGGGCTGGAGAGGGTGAATATGGAATAAGAGGGTGAGCTTTCCTTGGTACACTGAGCCAAGAAAGTCTTGAAGCCCCATGCAAGGCAGTGGGTCACATAGTGGGAGGTAGTCTATTCTAGGAGAGGGGGCAGACAGGGAGAGCCAGTGTCCTGGGGAGGGAATGCTTGGAGGAATTGTCCCAGGTGGCAGGGATTGGAGGACTGCAGGAACTGGGACATGAAAAGGTGCCATTCTAGGCAAGGTTCAATGGATGGCCACACTCTCCCCCAGGACCTAGTTAACCTAGGTCCCAGGGACCCTATGGGGTCAAAGTCCACCGTCACCCAGAGTGTGGCTTACTGCCCCACCTGAAAAAGGCCACATCATCTTTAATCCCTCTTCTCTCCTAGGCTGACCTAGGACCTCCTTCCTCCAGGAAGTCCTCCCTAACTGCCATGCTGTGTGCCATGACATGCATAAAACAGCCAGGAGGGTTTCTGAACCCCTGGCTCTCAAAGCCTCTTTTGGGCCTGATGTCTTCCACAAGATGGTGAGTTGCCTGACGGCAGGTATGGGGACCTGCTAACTACTCCCTGGATTCTAAGTGATCACTGCTATGGATGATCCATCCTTCCATTCAGCCATCCATCCAAAAACTTCTGAGCACTGCAGGTTGCCAGTTCTGTGCCAGGCCCTAGGGATAAGCAACAAAGCCCTGTATAGCCCTGTCTCAAAAAAGCAATATTGATAGTTCTTTCTCAATAAGACATTCCTCTCTCAATGTGTCTGAGGCTGTCTCCCCAGCCCACATAGGATTTAGTGCGGGCGCATCCCTCTGTGAAACTGCAGGCGACTCCCATGTGAACACTGGGCTTTGGTGTGCTCCACCTCCTGCTGCATTTGTGACGCCTCTTGTCTCTCACCTCCAGTCTCAAAGCCGTAAGCTCTTCATGGCATCCTTAGAACTTAGAGGCACCTGGCCAGACACAGTGGCTCACGCCTGTAATGCCAGCATTTTGGGAGTCCAAGACAGGTGAATCACCTGAGGTCAGGAGTTTGAGACCAGTATGGTCAACATGGGCGAAACCCTGTCTCTACTAAAAATACAAAAATTAGCCAAGCGTGGTGGCGGGCGCCTGTAATCCCAGCTACTGGGGAGGCTGAGGCAGGAGAATCACTTGAACCTGGGAAGCAGAGGTTGCAGTGAGCTGAGATGGTGCCACTGCCCTCCAGCCTGGGCAATAAGAGCGAGGCTCCATCATCTCAAAAAAAAAAAAAGAGCTTAGAGGCATCTGCAGTTTCCAGGTGAATTTGGGCCCAAAGAAGGCAGAGGACTGACTTGAGTTCACTCGGCAAGCCAGTGTTGGGTCAGGGACCAGGACATAGGCTGGCACTCCCAACCCCTAAGACAATGGGTACACCTGGCAGCCTAGGACCTGGCACACAGTGGCCACTCCACGCTTGCCTTTGCTGTCGCCACCTTGGTGTCTCTGACTCTAGACCCCTTCCTGGGGAAATTCAAGCCTAATTTTTCCTTCTGGTGAGGGAACCCCAATCCCATTCATCAGGAACAATGGCTGGCACAATGCGGGAAAAATAACCCATGGGAAATAGTCCTAACAAGCCCTGTGAACCTCTGGGGCAGCTCTTCTCATAATTTGCCCATCACCTCTCAAGCCAATTTGGCCAAATTTCCTTAGGATTTCATCAGGAAATATGAACTGCCAATTTTGTTATTAAGTCTTTATTTTAATAACAATTCTTGGTTATTGCATGAAGTCCGAGGGATGGAGCAGGAGGGGAGAACCCACAGAAGAGTCCTTCCTTCCTTATGAAGAAAGAACTGACCCCAAAGCCCCCTTGCTTCATTTTTTTTTTTTTTTTTTTTTTTTTTTTTTGAGACGGAGTCTCGCTCTGTCGCCCATGCTGGAGTGCAGTGGCGATCTCGGCTCACTGCAAGCTCCACCTCCCAGGTTCACACCATTCTCGTGCCTCAACCTCCAGAGTAGCTGGGACTACAGGCACCTGCCACCATGCCCGGCTAATTTTTTTTTTTATTTTTTAGTAGAGACGGGGTTTCACCATGTTAGCCAGGATGGTCTCGATCTCCCGACCTTGTGATCCGCCCGTCTCGGCCTCCCAAAGTGCTGGGATTACAGGCATGAGCCACCACGCCTGGTCCCCCTTGCTTCATTTTAAGGGCAGCTGCCTGGTACCTGATGCAGAGTAGCAGCATCCCAGCAATTGTGTGTGCTTGCTTTTCTGTAGGTCACAACCACCTACATGCACACACACGGACACATACGCCTCAACAAACAGTGAAAGTACACAAAGTTTCCAGAAAGCAAACTGTGTTTCTAGTAACAAACCACAGTCTACCTCTAGGACCTGTGACCGGGTTTTGCCCTGAGAGGATGCTCCATGGGAAGTGCTCCTGCCCAGAGTCAGCAGCCCAACCTCCAGGCGGCTTTGGGCAAGCCCCAACAGGATGCCAGGCGGGCTGGTGAGCAGGAAGAGACACCGCTCACAACCTCTCCTTGCTGTAATTTACTAAATCCATCTGGGGCTCCTTTGAGCCGTTTTCTGGAAATGCCAATTTCAAGGGTCTCCCTGTTAGAAAAGGTCAGAGAGTTTACGCGGGCCTTTCATGTTAAAGGAGCTTGGAAGAAAAGGAAAGGAAATGTATATTTTCAGCTTTAGTCATGATTAAGTGGGCTCAGGCCATGAGAACATTCAGATGATTTACATGATGTTACATGAAGAACCAATTAGCCTAACAACTTCCAAAAAATATCTCCTTCAAGAGCACCCATTAGACACTTGGAATGCACCAGGCGCTGTGCTAAGCTCTTCACTAGGGTACAGTGATTCATCTCAACTGCACTCCAACAGAGCAGGGCAGGCCCGTATATGATACCCATTTAACCTATGGGGAGACTGGGGCTCAGAGAGGGTCAGCAATCTGCTGGGGGTCCCACAGCTAGTAAGTGGCAGGGCAGAGATGGAAACTTAAGACTGCCCAAATCTAAAGCTGGAGCTCTTTTGCTCCAACAGCCCTCAAGCCTTGGGAGTCCTGACTTAGTCCTGTTTCAAGCATCTGAGTAGTGCAAGGTCATTAGAATGAAGATGAAGCCTTATTAAATCACCAGCTCTGGCCTGGTCTGGATGAATCCAGAAGACTTTGGGGCCTCCTTGCAGCTGGTCCTGGTCCTGAAACTCCCTGGTCACCTCCAGGGGGGCAACTACAGCAGACTCCACTCACTACCCTGTGGAAGAACCCCAGTGTCTATCATCTCTGTATGTGATCTGAGTCAATTCCCAGAACAGGTGGCCTCGGGTGGACTCAGGAGAGAGACGGTACACACTGAGATCTGTCTGGCTCAGGGGAAAGATTCCAGGCCCTCTCTGCCAGCAAAGGTCTTGGGCCACCCTATACAGACCACCAAGATGATTCCCTAATCCTGTAGATGGCAACATGAGCCACCCAGAAAGTCAGGGCTCCAGATTAGTGACAGCTCATTTGTCAGCATTTATCTGCCAAGACCACAAAGCAAATAAGGACTCCCTCTGGAATTTTAGGGATCATAATGGAACACCAGAGTGACAGTTAGGGTGTGGGCTCAGGAGTCAGACTGCCTGGGTTTCGAATTCTGACACCTTTATTTTCAAGCTGTGAGAACTTAGGTGACTTAACCTCTCTGAGCTTCAGTTTCCTCATTAGTCAAATGGGGATACGAGTCCCTATGTCATAGGGTTGGTGTAATGACTAAATGAGATAATGTGTGTGAAGCTCTTGACAGGATGCCTGGCACATAGCAATCACTCAGTATATGAGGTTGGTCATTGTGCAGATGATGGCGAAGGAATCAGTGCTGCCTGGACAAGGGGCTCCTGTGGGGCTGCACCAACTTCTGGGGAACAAGTCAGAGCTCTTGTTCCTTCCCAGCTTTCCAAACCCTCCTAAGCCATCCAGGCCCACATGAAATCTACCTCCTTCGGGAAGCCACCCTGACTACTCCAGTCCACGCTGATCTCACCATATCTGAGCTCTTTCTGTGCACTATCTGTATAGACTACTCTAGCACCTAAATTGGCTCTAATAACTCTTTAGCTTCTCAAAGCAACCAAAGGCTCCTGGAAGGCAGACACCTCTAGTACTTCCCTCTCCACAGCCCAAGCCAGGGCTAGGTACACAGTAGATGCTCCCTTAGCAAGCCTTCAGACTGATTTCAGTGTGGCTGTGGATGCCTGTGACTCAGCCTTTCTCTCCCTCACTCCTCCTCACAGCCCTGCTCTCCCTACTCACCCACCCTCTCCTCTGGTTCCAGCCAGCAGGGTGGGGAGTTGGAGCTATGACCCCATAGGACAGTTGTTCCCAGACTATAAAATGTCCAAAGAAACTTGAGGGTGGGGGAGTTAACAGATGGGGAAAAAAATGTTCCCTATTTTCTTTTGCCAAATAAGGACATGAAAAAATAAACTTGTCCCACCATCATTTTAGTAAAGAAAGGATGTTTTCACACCAATAAATAAGGGCATAATCCTTGATTAAAGGCTAATACCAAGCTGGAAAGTTTTAACCTTATTGAGAAAACAAAACAAAACAAAAAGAACCTCACTGTTGTTCTGAATTCTCTCCTTTCTCCAAGGACTGGGGAACACGTCAGCCTCCACTGGTCTGTGTCGGGGGAACTCATGGGTCTGGGGACAGCTATTCTGGAGAAGGTTCCTGCAGAACCAGGGTTCCCTACAAACACAGGACCCCTAAAGCCATTGGGTTGGGCAGATCCGGATTCCCTTTCAGCTGTCCCAAAGGAGGCTCACCCCAAGCCAGACTCTACCTATAACCTTAGGAGCTGAGGTGGGGGAGGCTCTGAGACCCTGTCCCTGTGCCTCTCCCCTCCAGGCAGGGCCGAGCCCCCCCTTCTCTGCCAATCCGGAGCAGATGAGGCGAGACTGAGCGGCAAGACCACCCTGGGAGGAGGCTGGGGAGATCTCTCCCCCTCATCTCCATCACCAAACTGAGCACTCGTGCCCATGCCACCCCCTAGCCCCGGCCTGGGGAAAGGAGGAAAAGTGGGCACCCTAGCCCGGAGGTGGCGGGGGAGGGGGTTGTGGTGTCCGAGGTACCCCGCTGGGCGGGCACAGATAGGATCTGAACACAGGGAAGCATGCCCTGGCTCTTTGATCCGCAGCCAGCCACGCCTGGCCTGGACCCGGAGGGAGGCACGGCTGTCTTCCGGCCCGGCTTTGCACCGCTGCCAGGGGTCCTGTGGGGCCCTCAGCGGGAGAGGCGTCCAATACCCCGCCCTGCCGCAAATACCCTCTATTCCAACTGCTCTCAGAAGAGGAGTGAGCGTCTACACTGAATTCAGCACAGAAACCTGCTAGGGGGGCCGCGGTTGACTGCATCGCGATCCAAAGGACCGGCGTCTTTTGTAGATTCAGTGGCTGAGCCAGGCCAAGTGTGCCGTGGAGGCCCGCGTGGACGCAGACCCGGGTGCTATGCAGATGCACTGGAATCCAGGCACTTTCCCGCGCTCCGCAAATCTAGATGTTTCAGCCTGGATCGAGCGAGGGCTAGAGTCATGTGCTCCCTAAATGCGACTTCTAGGGTGGAGTTGCTGTGGACGAGGGATCCACGTCGGAATCCCGCGCCCACGTGGCTGCCCAAAGCTCTGAGTCTCCGGGCTGCAGGTTCTAGTCATGGAACCGAGTTGGGAGAGTAGCAGGGGCTGGGACTTGGAGGATCGGCTGAGGTCTGATGCTCTTGGCTGTGTTCGCGGCTCAGAGCCGTCGCCTGCCCGAGGGGCCCGTCACAGATGTGTGATGTACAAGCTCTGCATGCAACAGGAGCTCAATAAATGTGCGAAGGGGGGTATGCTTGTGTTCGCGCTGTATGCAGGCAGCCTAGAGGGAAGTCTCTGATTGGCACAGGGATGGAGGATGGGGCAAGAGCCGCGACAGCGCCGCGGAGTCCCAACGCTGCCGGTTCCCTGGGGTCCGAGCACAGCCTCAAGCAGCCCCAAGCCCTAGGAAGCCCCTAGTTCAAAGCACAGGGCGCACTGGAGGCTGAGCACCATACAGTTCACACCAAGGCTGCAGTGGTAAGCCACGCCCAAGTCCCAAGGGCCTAGGGGACTCCCGCCCTCGGCAGCTGGAGGAGAAACCTGGGCGCAGGAAGCAGGGGGAATATCGGTTGTAGCTGAGTAAGGGGGGCGTCAGGAGTTCCCTTTAGAGTCTCTGCGTTTCGGAAGAAGGGTGATCATTCTCAGGCTCGTCCGACTTCTCGCTCGGGGTGCGCTCCGGGAGAGCGAGCCCTTTAAGGCTACGCCCAGTGGGCGCGTCCCGGCCTCACCCGGGAGAGGAGGGGCGGGGCGGACCTGTGTCCCGCCCCCGGCCGGGCCCGCCCCCACCGCCCGCCCCGCCCCCGGCACTCGGCCGGCGGCGCCTTTGATGTTCGGACCCGCCAGCTCCCGGAGCCGCTCTGCCCAGCGCCCTAGCCCGCGCCTGCAGCCCGCCCAGGAGGAGTCAGCCCGCGCTCCGCCCGCCGCGATCCGGGCTCGGAGGTTCGGACTCCGGGCTCGCCGCCCCCCGGGCCGGCTGCGCGCCCCGCACTCCCTGCGCCCAGCGCCCCGCGCCACGGCGAGCGGAGCGCACCATGCCGCAGCTGGACTCAGGCGGGGGCGGCGCGGGCGGCGGCGACGACCTCGGCGCACCGGACGAGCTGCTGGCCTTCCAGGATGAGGGCGAGGAGCAGGACAAGATCCGCGACAGCGCCGCCGGTCCCGAGCGCGACCTCGCCGAGCTCAAGTCGTCGCTCGTGAACGAGTCCGAGGGCGCGGCCGGCGGCGCAGGGATCCCGGGGGTCCCGGGGGCCGGCGCCGGGGCCCGCGGCGAGGCCGAGGTCGGGGCCGAGGTGAGCCCCCGCCGGCGCCGGCTCCTCCCCCGCGGTCGCCGCGCCCCGCCGCCCCAGCTGCGCGCGGCCCTCGGGGTCTCCAGCGCGCAGGGCGTCCCTGCCCCGGCGTCTGCCCCGATCCCCGCGGTCCCACCGCCCCTCACTCCCCTCCGGTTCTCCCTCCAGGCTCTCGGGCGGGAACACGCTGCGCAGAGACTCTTCCCGGAGAAACTTCCAGAGTCCCTGGAGGACGGTGAGTTTCGGCCCGGCCCGGCCCCCCTTCATCGCTCTCAGGCCCTGGCCTCGGTGGGACGGGGACACCGAGGACCGCGGGAAGCCGGGTGCCTCCTCCACCGCAGTTCGGGAGGCGGCAAAACCCAGGGGTGGGGAGTGGGGGGCGGGCTTCCCGGGCGCCGCCGGGTCGAGTCACTTCCGGTGCCCTGACCTTTATAGGAGTAAACAGACCCCCGCCATCCCCGCCTCCCCTCCTGCCCAGGTGACTGACTAATCCGCCGTCTTCAGGAGACAGAACTGGCCAAGGTTTCTTGGTTGGAGGGCGAGGGGGGCGGGGGGAGGTCAAGTAGTGGCCACCTCGGGGAGGCCTGCACTCCAGGTCCTTCCCCTAAAACTTGGCACTGCGGATACTCCCAACCCGTTCCTTCCCAAGTCAGGAACTTGAAGGGGACCCCTTGGCAATTCTTTTTCTCTCAAGAGCAGACAGCCTTCAGTCCCAGCCGCCACCAGGGCTGGTGTGTCTGACCCAGCTGTGGTTTTTCCAGGCCTGAAGGCCCCGGAGTGTACCAGCGGCATGTACAAAGAGACCGTCTACTCCGCCTTCAATCTGCTCATGCACTACCCACCCCCCTCGGGAACAGGGCAGCACCCCCAGCCGCAGCCCCCGCTGGTAAGTGGACCCCGCAGCCAGTGCCGCCCTGTGCTTGCAGCCTCCTTGACCAGGTAGGTGAGGCACCGGCAAGAGACTTCTGCCTGGAACAAAATAGACGAGACTCCTGTGCTGGTCTTTCTTCCCATACACACCCAGTGGGATCTGAACCAAAAGGAGAACTTTGCTGAAGGAAGGAGAGGCCGCCCTGAGGCACCCCCTTGCCCTCTGGCTCTTGGCTTTTGTCTTCCCAGCTTGCTCATAAGCAGGTGCAGTCTCTGTCCTAGTGCTGGGTATGCCAGGGTGGGGTCTTCTTAGAGAACTTTTGAGTCGAGACCACCGTCGCTCCTGGCTGCTCTGATCTGATCTCAGAGCTTTGCAATTAACTTTCTAACTAGCCCAGGAAACCCTGAGCCTCCTTGGCGCTTGGAGGAGTGGGCAGGAAAGCTGATCTGTTCAGGTGCCCTGGTTGTGCAGGAGAAACGTGCTGTACTCAGCTGTGTCCTTACTGGCGTGAGTGCACCCTTGCCAAAGAAGGACCCTGAACACCATGTGTGGAAAGTGGGTTCTTAGGAAACTGGCTTGGTCTCAGACACACCAGGAAGGGTTGGCAAAGGTGCTACAAATCAGGGATGTTGAGAAGGGACCAGTTTAATGAATTCGGGAATTAAATATTTTTAAGTCCCAGTGCTTTGAAAACATTTCATGATCATTACAAACCATGCCCATTGGTGCAGATGACCTAAAGTGCGAAGAGCCTATTCTGAGTGCTTTGGAGCAGTACAGCTGTGCTTTTAAAGAAATTCCTATTCGTGTTTCACACTCTTCTCAGTTGGTCCAAGTTGGGGTGAAGGTACATGGAAGGTTTGGAGACTGTGGTAAGCGAGTGTTGGGTGTGAATGTAAGCCCAGTGCAGGTGGGGCTGGCAGGCTGGAGGCTCACATGGCTACAGTGGGGTCACCAGAGGGAGGAGAGTAACTGCTAGGCTGTTTCAGACCAGGAGTGAAGAGGGTGGTTCTGAGAGCTGCTGGATGCCAAGTCAGTGGGAGTGAGAAGACATACAGGCTTCTTTCCAGAAGCCCAGGCTGGAAAACCTGTTATATGGCCAGCTCTAGAAATGAACTCCTTGCCCTTTGGGCCCCTGTTTCCTCATCTGTAAAATGAGCATGTTTTCCAAGTAGTCTCTGTATCCGACTTTCTGCTCTGGAGTGGCTTGGTATATGAGGTGGTTCACTTCCTTCCAAGTCTGTGAGGTGAGGGACGTGCCCCCCAGCATTCCCGCCCAATGCAGTGACTATACCCAGAGAACTCACCCTGCATGAGCCCATGCTTAACGAAGATGCATTTTGGATCCCTACAAGATGTAAACCCTTAGATTTGGGACCAGGTTGACATAACTTACCAGTGCCAAACTTCTGACAGGTGAGCCACTTGCATGGGGGCCGGGGTCACCTTGGAACCATGATTAGACAAAAGGCCTAGGCCCAAGGCTCCACTCCAGCCTCCTGGGGCTCCACAGCAGCGCAGGGAAAAGGCCTCCTTTCGGAGGTCATCTAGTGGTGTGGGCAAGTGCTGGGGGAGTATCTGGAGCAGGGAACGCCTTGTTCTGCTGTCAGGGTATGGGTGATGGAACCATTTGGTGTCCTTTGGCCCACATGGGTCAAGAGTGGGCTGTAAAAGTCAGGACAGTGGGGGAGGCACACCACCACTGATCTGGGTCATTCATTTTTCACCTTTTAGTCTTAAGCTACAGCAGATACATTTCTATGTATTGCACCTGCTCCTATAGGTACATATCCCCTTGCCCTCCTCCTCACGCAGCCACAGTCCCCACTGTGTGGCTTCTGGGCACACATGAGGAGGAGAAGGACGGGCTCTGACACTGGCTCTCTGAGCCCTGGCCTCAGCGGCTCTGTGGGGCTGCAGAAAAGGACAGAGGCAAAGGTGTAAGCTGGAGTGACACTGGGTGAGGCAGATGTATGTGAATGTAGGGGAACCTCTTCTAAGCAAACCTGACAGTTATAAACACATAGCAAGTCAGAGTATTTGCTTGCATTACCTGAAGACGTGTGCGCATTTAAAATGTGATTGGGTTTTACCAAGCAAAGTGAATCCACCCCCACATTTTAGAAGCACATTTATCATTGGATTCAAGGTTCATGTGTCTGGAACCCGGAATGATCCTCTTATCTTGGGTCAGGAGCCCCTTGCAAGGGCCCTGAGGAAAAACTGCCTTTGGAAGATTTTTCCAAAGCTGGTCACTTTCCCAAGCCCATCTTTAAAGGACAGACAGCTTGCTGCTTGGGTCCTGCCACAGGCCTTAGATCCAGGCCCCCATGCCCTTTGCCCAGTCTTCTCTGAGGGCACCCATGTGGTCAACACTTAGCTGAGAGGCTTGAGGCCAGTCATTGGACCTCCCTTGGGAGCGGGGAAAGCCTGTACCAGGGACCTGCTCTGCCCATGTGGGTGATGCCCATGCGGCTGCTGTGTTAAGGGACCTCGAAACAGGCCAGCTCGAACCTTGCCGGGAGCAATGGGCTGAATGACCACCCCACAGCCATCTGCCACGGGACATACTGTTTTTTTTTCTTCCGAAAAGGTTCCTTCTTTTTGGTAGTTGGCTTCTCTTAAGCTTGTTTGAGGAAGAAAAAATTAGGTCAAAGTTTATTCCATGAACACTGTCAGGCACCTAATGTAGGCTTGCAGGCAGTTACTGGCCTAGACCAGTAACCAGGGTTTTTTTGTTTCGTTTTGTGTTTGTGTTTGTGTTTTTTTAGAGACAGGGTCTCACTCTGGTGCCCAGGCTGGAGTGCAGTGGTGTGATCTTGGCTCACTGCAGCCTCGAACTCCTGGGCTTAAGCGATCCTCCCACCTCAGCCTCCTGAGTAGCTGGGATAACAGGTATGCACTACCATACCCAGCTAAGTTTGTTTTTGTTTCTGTAGCGATGGGTCTCACTGTGTTGCCTGGGCTTTGGTTTGGTTTTGTTTTCTCTTCTCTACTTTGAGACCTGAGAGTAGGTGGAGGTGGTGAGTGGGAGGATAGTGAGCTGATCTTAGGCTGTACTCTGGGGGGGATTCTGGGATGAGTAAGGCATCGTTCCTTAGGCAAACTCAGGTTCCTGGATGCATACAGCAGTGTAGTCAGTCTTGTCATATCCAAAAATGATGTGAGGCCGCGTTGCGCTGTGGCTTCTTCTATGATCTCCACTTGGAGTCTGTAGCTTGGACAGATGCCGAGCCTTTTGCCATTTTGATGAAATATCCAGAATAGACACATCCATAGAGACAGAAAGAGGATTCGTGCTTGCTAGGGGCTGACGGAAGAGGGGCCCAGGGAGCGACTGCGCATGGGTATGGGGATACTTTCTGGGGTGATGAATAGGTTCTGGAATTAGATAGTGGTGGCAGCTGCACAATCTTACGAATATACTAAAAGCCACTGAATTATATACCTTTAAAACAGCGTATTTTACGATATGTGAATTACATCTCAATTTAAATAAGAAGGCTGAAGCCTTTGGCTGTTGCAGGCTTGGGGCCATGTGTCCCTGTCCCTGATCTCCACAGCCATCCAGATGCCTAGGGATGCCCCAAGCCAGGGGGTCAGGCGTCAGGTGTCAGGTCCAGCAGAAGGAGCCTCACTGAGGCAGTGGACTCATGTTGGGACTCCCGGCAGGTCCAGAGCGTGCCCGGGGGAACAGGAGGTGAGGGTATGAGCAAGGCTCCAGCAGAGGAAGGAAGTGCTGCTGACGCATGGCCAGCCTGTCCGAGGAGCTTTGCAGAGATGAGTAGGTGCAGGAGCACCCACCGGCTTCCACATGCTGCAAAGCGAGCCATGGGCCTTGCTGAAAAGTGTTAGTTATTGGTGTTGAGCGCCAGTCCTGGTTGGAGTGAAGCCTGTTAGGTGGGAATTTGACACCAGGCTGGGTACCAGGTACTGGACCCCCAGACTGGAACCAGGCTTTTCCCCTGGGAGTGCCCGGCTGAGCAGAGGAGACAGACAGAGACCTGAAGCAGAGCTGGCCAGAGGAGTACTGTCACTGAGATGTCCCGGGCAGAGCCAGCCCCAGCCCCGGCTGTGAGGGAGGGCCCACTGAGCAGCACTCTGAAGGCCACAGGGTTTGGATGAAGACAGAGGAGGGACTGGCAGGCCCCAGGCTTCCCTCTGAACACATCCCAAACCTCCCTACTTCTCTGCAGTCAGCACCCGAAGCCCCAGCCATTGCCATCTCTCACCCAGACAGCAGCAACAGCCTTCAGAGGACCCCTCCCTCACCCCCTAACCCCCATCCTAACCCACAGTCCAGGCTTCATGTAGCAGCCAAAGGGGTCCTTTAAAAACAGAATCAGATCACATCTCTTACCTGATTAAACCCTGCATTAGCTTCCCATTGCTCTTGGAGTAAGGTCCAAGCCACTCACCACAGCTGAGCGCCTGGGTGGCCCCCACCAGCCGCCCCTCATCACCTGCACCAGCCTCTTGCTGTCTCCCTGACAGCAGTCCCCTCCCTGTCCTAGGGCATCTTACAGCCAGCAACTTCTTTCCACCCCAGGACTCCTACACTGCTTCCCTCCGCTTAGAAGTCTGCCGCAGCCCTGCACATAGCCGCCACCTTTTCATTCCTCACTTAGGGCTCAATTCAGATGTCTCCACCTCAGGGAGCCTCCTCTGACCATTCCCAGTGGGACCCTCCTCATCCCTCGACTCTGGCTGCCTTGCCCGCCCTGGCAACTCTTTAGGCTCAGACGGTTGGCACTGCTTTACAATGCACTCACCATGCTTAACCCAAAGAAAGCCCGGCTGTTCGTTTCCTGCTCTGCACAATGGGAGTGGTGAGCCCTCCTCCAAGAGTTGGAGTGAGGACCAACAGCAGTGCCAGGGAGGGGCCCAGAGGGTTGCCAGTGCAGCCTGGCCAGGGGGAGTCAGCCATGACTGAACCCTTGTCCCTTGCTGGCCTGGCTCCCAGGGGGCCAGTGGTGGCTCACTCATGGGCCCCACATGGACTTGGGCACGGAGGG